GGCAAGGGGTGAGATTGTGGGGTGAGTGAAGGGTGGATGGAGGGATCGGCGCGTGGGGAAACATCTGTGAGCCGGGGCAGGGGCGCGTGTCCCAGGCCGGCAGTGTGTTCAAGTCTTGGGCGTGGGATACAAGGTGCAGCAGGGAGCCGTGCAGGCGTATTGTCCGGCATCGGTAGCTATCATGGCGTACCTAGAAGAGCGGGGATACCGTGTCACCAGGAGCCGGGGGGGGGGGGGGGGGGGGGGATAAATTCACCGCTTCAAAGAAAGGCAGCCGAGTCTGTCCTGAGGCAGCTGCAGCATCCGCCAGGATATGTCGGAGTGCTCAACCTACTTGGCCGAAGGGGGGGGGGGGGGGCCGAGATGGGAAATCGGCAATCCAGACCTGCTGTCAGGCGAGGCGCTCAATCCAGATCCAGACAAGAGGAATGTCCAACTCCCAGGGAGGGATGTGGCGCCGCCTTCTGTGCTTCGCTGTGGCGGCCACTCTTTCGCGGCTGTGCGCGCTGCGCAAGCCTCTCCTTTGCCAGCTATCTGTAGTCCGGGGTTTGCACCTTTCTACACGCGCTGGCGAAGCCAAAATCCGCTGCTGGATCACCTGTAGGACGGATGCCACAGAGAGAGAGAGAGGGGGGGAGGGCGAACAAGAGCCCGAGAGGCAGGGCAAGCGCCAGAGGGGTCGAGAGGAGGGAAAGGGCAGGCGAAACGAGGAAGAGGAAAGAGAGCCCCGCAGGATGGGGTCCAGGTATCAAATCGACGCCCAGGACAACACCAATACACACCGAAGGCGAGCGGCAGAAGGGCTGCGGGTGGGGACGGAGCAATCTTGGCCGGTGGGTTTGTGTGTGTCTGTCTGTAGGTGGGGAGGGGGGGGGATGAATGCACGAAGAACAGATTCAGGTGGAGGGAGGTAGGAGGAACGTGGTGCCGCTGGTCGGGGTAATGAGACATGGACCGGATTGTTTTGAATGTGACCCTCGACCCCAGTGGAATGGGGTGTGCCTGCGGTTTTTCCATCCAGACCTTGAGAGATGCTTCGGGCAGCCTGGCGGCTGGAAGTGCGAGGCCACCCCCGCTCCTCCGCGCCCCCCCCCCTCCCCCCCCCATGGTCCTGGGTCTGCTTATTAGGGCCCTTCGGTTGAGGTCGTGCCTCGCCCCCTCCCACCCTCCCACCCCACTGCCGTCCTGGGGGAGCTGCTCGTGGGATGGCGGTCAAGTGCGGGACTGTAGGCCAGGGGAAAGAGGGGCAGCAGAGGGCGGGGGAGGGGGGGCGGGCCAGCGCCTGGCACGATAAACGAAGGAGGCCGGGGCGCTCATTGGTCCCGGGGCGGGGCGTGGCACATGCGAGATGGTCATGTTCTTGATTTTGTCGACATCCCAAAAGGGCGTCGTAGGAAGGGGCAGTGGAAGGGGCGGGGCCGGGGGACAAGTCCCGCCCGCTCGCCAGTTATGGCCTACACCTTTCCGCACCGGTGCCCGCTCCTCCGGGCGAACCATCGCCCCCAGCCCCAGGAGGAATGGGCCCGCGGCGCGCCAGTCTCGTCTGGCATTCTGTTTGCCGGCCCACCCCGCATGGGCGCCCCCCTGCCCTGCCCCCCCCCTCCCTCCCACCCAGACACACAGACACACGCACACACACACACACAGCGAGCACCCGGTCTCCACGCTGCGGCCCCTCCTCGCCGAGTTAGCCCTTTCGGCGCTCTCGGGGGCCAACGGCAAAGCTGATCCACCCTGCTGGCTGGGACCAGAGAGAACATGCGGAGTGGCGCAACGATCGTGGGCAGGCACATTCGAGATCCGGACAAATGCTCGAAGAGGAACGAGCGAAATGCGGCAGCCGGACCCGGGCACAGCAAACATCCCCACACACGCACACGGAGGCCGCCTCACCAAGGCCGACATGCTGACAGACCCGAAGGCGTACGCGGCTACCCCACCGGTCTCGAGGCCGGCCTCAGGTCGCACCTTGATCCCTGAGCGCCCTCGACAACAGTCTCACACCAGCTGCTGGAGGATCCACCACGTAAGATCGCCGGCCGGATGATCTCCCTGTTGCCTCGAGCCATCTCCGGCGGTAGCCAATGATGACGCTGGTCCCGAGAGGCAAGCGCCCGGGGTCACACGCTCGCGATCGCGCTCGGTAAATGGAAATGGACCCCCGGTGGCGGGGGACATTTCCATGTGCATTCTCCGCAGGCCCGGAGAGGCAGCCAGGGCCTCGGGCCAGACCCGATGTTGGTCCGCTCCGGGCCCCTTTCCAGCTGGCGGGCATGAAAGGAGGGACCGAATAGGCGCGCTGGGCATCCTCGCCTTTTCTGCCTCCCTCAGTTGAGAGGAGAGTCAAGGTGGTAGGCGTGTCTCGGGGGTGAGGGCGGAGGGAGCGAGAGAGAGAGAGAGAGCGAGCGAGAGAGAGCCCATGGAAGAGGACAGAGCGAGAACGACAACTGCCCATGACCGGGCACATGAAGGAGGAACAGCGCAGCAGAGCCTCCGGGCGAACAACGGAAAGCAGCGGATCGGCCTGAGGCCCGACACAAATCTGGGCCCGTGAGTCGGGATCTCCGGCTCGCCTGGTGCTCGGAATTAATGTCACCCAATCCCCCCCATCCGAGAGCCTCTTCGGAAGCGGATCATTCGGGTCGGTCCGCACGCTCTGGTGGGGCGCTCGTAATTGTGGGGTAAGAAATATGGGGCCGCACGCGATCCCAGCCCCGCATCCCGGAACCCGGCCCGGCCAGCCAGGTGGTACCGGCTGGCCCCACTCGACCCGGGCCCGCCCACACCCTCTAGCGCCCTCGCCCCGGCCCTTGTGCCCGCTCCTGGGGGGGGGGGGGGGGTAGAGGCGTGAAGCCAAGAATCCGCACGGGGGTCGCCTGGGATGCGGGATGCCAGAAGGGTGGCGGGCCTCGAAGCGTGAGCAGTCTCCCACTGGGGGGGGGGGCGGGGGCCAAGCACTTAATAGCTGGCCCGCATGACGAGGAGCAATCTTCTGCCCGGCACATGGCGGCGCTGTTCCGAGGAAATTCCCTCGGAAAGAGCCCCGCGCCTGATTTGCGCCGGGGCTTGAGTTTCCGTCCCAACATGCTGGTAGCGACAAGCAGCTGCTGCTGCCCGCATGCATGCACGGGGCTTCGGAATTAGTAGCATGCTGAACAATTCGCCTCTGTGCCCCGGAAAACAACCACCCGCATGCGCAGGCGGGCCCGGGGGCGGCAAGGGGAATGAGACCGGTCCCCCTGCCGCGGGCCCCAAGGACCGGCTCAGGGGGGGAGGGGGGCGAGGGAGGCCACGCCGGAGTCCTCTGGAGAGGGCCACTCGATGGGTGCAACCCTTGGGGCGGGCACCCAGCTGAGAAGGGCAAGGAAGCACACCCTGCGGAAAATCGAGAAGCTGAGGAACAGGCCGGCCGATGAAGCCACCGCTCGGCACCCTGTCTCCGGCCCATCTCACGCGTGGCCTCTCGGGCTGTATGTGCGCTGAGCATGCATATGGCCATGTGCTAGATCGCACCGCTGCTGACCGAGCTCGATCGCCCAAGGGCACACTCGTGGCCGTCTTCACATCGGCTACAACTCATTATGACTGGGCTGAGGTCGCCCATGCGCTTGCCTGCCCTTGCCGCGCACTGCCACGCTTGGAGCAGGCCATGCGCCTGGGGAACCCTGCGTCGAGAGGGAAGGGACCTTGCCTGGGCGCGAGCAGGCATGCGTGTCTGCACTCACCGCGTCCAGACTCCCCGGAAGAAAGACTCTGCCCTGTAAGTCTGCGGGCCTGCAATGTATTATTCCCGCGTATGTGCGCGCATGTGTGTATGTGTGTGTGTGTGTGTGTGTGTGCAAATGCGTACATGAGTCTACATGTGCTCCTTTGCTCGCGTTTCCAAGATCTCCATGCACTATCACACACGCACACGCACATGCATGCATGCATGCATGCATGCATGCCTACGAAGGTGCACGTGTGGGCACACCGCCCTCCCCCATATTCACATGTCGCGGCCAGGCAGGGACCAGGTCCGGCGAGGGTGAAGGCCAGACCGAGGCAGGGACCGGGTCTGGCGAGGGTGACGAGGCACGGCCGGCGAACCGGGGCTTGAGTAGGATAGCCATAACTGGGCTGCTCTTCATCGCTCTGGCCTTCTTGTCGTCCAGGCGGCAAGGGCCCCTTTCCCCCTCATCCATGCAGCGAATGTTCGCGCCCTCATTCCCACATGCGCGCACTTTTTCGCACGCACACACACACACACATACACAGCCACACGCAGAGACATATCTTCCTTCACGGCCACACACGCACCCCGAGGCAGAATTATATTTTCCCGCTCACACATGTTATTCCCATCCCAGGGCATGCACCGCCCACCAAGGTCAACCCGATGCTTTCAAGGGGACGTTGATGACCATCGTCGTGAGCGGTGGCATCCTCCATCTACAGGTCCCAGGGAGATGCCTCAAATAATTCCAGGAAAACGATCCCCTCAACCACGCGCAATGGAAGCGGCGTGAGGCTGGAGGCCGCGTCGAGACAAACACGCCCTCACATGCAAAAAAAGAATACCCATACACCCACACACCGGCAGCCCCCAGCACGAGCGTTCCAACAAGCGATGGCGTGCGTTGTCCAAGGCCAGACGATCGACCCGCCTGCCGGGCGCCGGAGATAGGAAGGGGGAAATTGCGCTCGGCAAAGGGGAGTTCGCCCGGGGGGGGGGGGGATGCAATCCTCAACACCTTTGGGCCCCCAGAGCAGACCCTAGACCATCATGGCCTGCTGATACGGTGTTCTTCCCGGCATTACAGGCGGGCTCCCATGATTAGATCTCAACATAGGCCTCCTTAACTTTGCTCTCCCTCCTGCTCGGGCCATCTTCTTGGATGGTCTGCGAGTCACAATAAATGGGGTTCAGTTGATGGTGGCCCTCTGAAGGCTGCCTGCCTGCCTGCCACCATTCTCTGAGAAAAGAATCGATCGGAGCGGTAGGGGGGACGCTTGTGGGCAAGATGGGGGCCACTCTCGCGTCTGGCCCCCGGCACCGCCTCGGCCATCGTGCAAGTGGGCATTCCTGGCTCGGCGACAGACTAGGGGGGCCGGTCCCGCACACGCAGACGCGG